CTTCACTCAACTCGGTATAAATTATTACAAGAAAAGCTGATTATTCTACTAAAAATAAATACTTAAGGTGCTTTGGAAGAATTTTTAATGCTATTTCTGAAGCTTCTTTTATAGACGATACTAAAGGTTTAACATTGGTGTTAATGTATAAGAGCTCATATATATCCCTAACAACTCAAGCTTTAAGAGTAAAGCAAATTCTTTCATAAAACTCACACATTGATCCTCTATCATAATTTGCTCTACTAAGTCCAGCTCCATTGATTCATAAAATTAGCTATTAACCAACCCCCTCCCCCTTCCACTAAAACTATCTTGTAGCAATGATCATCACTAGTGTCTTGGAGAAATTTAACTGATTTTAAAACATAAAAAATAACCTCCTAACTGTTAGTTCTTTTGCAAAAGAATCATAACCCTTCTTGTGCATAAAAAAGTTAACCAATTAAAATGAGGATCTCTTTATCTTCCTCAATGTTTAGGACTATGAAATTAATAGGAAATATAAATTTCTCAACCCTAACCAATACATCCTCTGTCACCCCCCTAAGATAGGTTAAGGATCAATCAGCTAACTGCTTAGTCAATATGGATCTCCCAATCTTAGTATTTTGAGAGTGGAGAGAAGCAAAAGGTTGATAATATCCCCTAATTCATTAAGTGATTTCCCAAAACAATTGTCTCTTTCAACTCAAGAAATTGTAAAGTTATCTGGTCTCTTAAGCCACTGTGAAAATGTCTTATGCATGATAATGTGATATTCCTCGATCAGAGTAACAATTTCAAAATTTCCTAGTTTTCTCTTCTTTTTAAGGACATTCTTCATGAACCTCACATGGCTAGGCATATGTTATAGGGCTTCAACAAAAATAATATTGATTGTGAACTTTTTTTAAAACTCTAAAAAAATTATAAATTTAAATTTGTTGATCTAGCTTTTATTTCTATAATATTTAGGGAAGGGTTGTAGTAGTCTTTATTATACCTTTCTCAGAGGGGAGTTAAGTTTTCTTAAACCTTTTAATATGCTCTCTCCAGATTGTTTAGGCTTGAGATCTAACCTTACAAGACTACTCTCTTTCCTTGGGATGTCTTTCAACTCCTTCCAACTTCTAAGTCTCACAAGTTGCACTTGATCCTTTCCTTTTTCCTTAGGAATCACTTCAGTTTTATTAGGTAGCATCTCCGGGGGCTTATTTATTAAAGAGTAACCTAATTTCCTAAGTTGATTCTCTATGTTTTTTATGGTTGCAAATAATCTTATATCTGGTTCCCCATCTATAACACTGTCTCCACTAGAGATAATTTCTTCTCTTGAAACTAAGTATTGAGAATGAACCCAGGAGGGTAGGTTTATCCCAGGTTACTATTGTCTTGGTTGTTTTAATTCTCTATGGAGTTGGAATGGGTGTTCCCCCATGAATAGTTTCTTACCCCTGGATTGTTATTATTTAAGTTGAAATTTGGGCAATTCTTTTAGGTTATTTTATAAGTATTAAAATAAGGGATATTGAACTTATTTCCTATGACATTAATGGTCTCCAAAGCAGTAATACTAAGACCTACTAATCCGTAAGCCATCTCATCATTGAGTAAAGATCATTACACTAAATTTAACCTTAAGCTATCTAGCTTTCTAGAATTAAGAGACCACTTAACTACAATATCCATGATTGATCATGAAGATCTCGCCAGCCCATTGTAAAAGATTTGAATGATCAGCTAGTCAGATAGGGTGTGGTATGGACACTTTTTAAGTTTTTTTTGAACATCTCCCAAGATTCATAAATTGAATCTTCATCCAAATGGGCGAAAGGAGTGATGTAACTACCAAATTTGGCAGTTTTAAACAGGAAAAAAATTTAGCTAAGAATTTTTGAGTTAAGTCATTTCAAGTAGTGATCGATCTTGGCGCTAAAGAGTTAAGCCACATCTCAACTTTATTCCTAAGTGGAAAAAAAGAATAATCTTAATCTAATGACATTATTACTGACACTGATATAATTGAAGGTCATATAGTTCCAAGAAACAAGTATAGTGAAGGATTAGGTCTTTAGTGGGTGATCCCCCAAACTTGTTATTTGAATCATTTGGATGATCACAAGTTTGAAGTTTAAATGTATTAGCTTCTACTATAATTTAATTAATACTCATGTAAATTTCTTCTACAAATGGGTTGGCCTACTCCCTAAGAGGTTTAAGCTGGTTTTTCTGAGGATTTGCCATTTTGAAGTTTTTTTTTTTGTGATTTTTCAAATTTTCTTAATGACTTCTTTTATTTCAGAGTCAAATTACACTACCTCAACTATTCCAATCATATGCATTCGACTAAGGACTCTCAACTAGGTGAGCCTAATCTAAAGTGAAATCACATATAAAGAATTCAAAAACTTGAAAATCAAATAATGTGTGACAAAGCAAAAAATAAAAAATGCAATTTTTTTTCTTTTAGATTTTAAAAAAAATAGATATCAATACAAAAAATAAGATATAAAAACACAATTAAAGAAAAAATAAACAATTTTAAACCTATACTCTAAGTGGTTTAACTAAAATTATCCCAAATTAGAAAATTTGGCTTCATTTTCCCAACAATGACACTAAAAACTTGATGTTTAAAACCACTGTCAAGGATTCGATAATCATGGAGGTACATATGTTGCTAAAAAAATATATACATTTGATTTTGTGTGTTGATCTTACAAAGAAACTAATAAATTTTCTAATTAGTGAAGTTCTAGTTTATTAAGCTCTAAGTCTAGTTTGGAGTGATTCAAATTATAGAAGTTGAAATGTATTTAAAATCCTAATGAAGAAATTGAATTATGTTTTTGAGTTTTTAGAGATGACAAAGAATCATACTCCTATTACTCAGAGACACTGATCATGTGAATTTTTGAATTTCTTCCAATGAGAACCCCACTTTCTTATTGACAACCAAAAACAAGTTCACCTTAATCTTTGTCAAGGTCATAAGAAGCATTGGGAGCTCTTATTACAATTAAGGGGGTTTAACCATGCAAATTTTATAGAACTCCTCTAGTCCCCTATCCAAGTTACAATCTTCTACTGACAATATGTCAATTTGATTAGATGATTATAAATTAACCTAAATGTTCTTCTAATTAACAGTTAGTCTTCCAAGTTCATAAATGGTTTTAATTTTCTAAGTGACCATATTATAATTAAATGACGAGCAATAAATTAGCACATTAGCATAAATCAAATCTCAAAATGCACAAAAATTATAGGAAATCTCATGGAGAAAAAAGTGATTCAATCACATTTCTACATCACGGGAGCATGAAAATTCTTATCTACTATGCATGATAGAAAAAAAACACATGAAGTTCCATTGACTTCAAGACCAAAATGTAAACAAGTATAGAAAATTTAAACCAAAGTTGCATCTTCTTGAAGTACACTAAATCATTGATCTCCCTACAATGAAAGCACTCCATCATTGTCTCTTTCATACAAGCACTCAAGCTTCTGACCCTCTCCAACTCACTGAAAATCTCTCTTAAAAGAAACCCTCAAATACTTCTCCAAATCAAACTCTAAGAAGAAACCTTAAGGCTCCAAGAAAAAACTCCACAAAGTAAGAGAAAGCATCATCCAATAGCATAGTGTCCCTAAAGCTCTCCTAGACCATTCCTTATATAGTTTGGGCTCCAAACATCTACATAAAACCTTCTAACTTGTCAACTTATGTAATGGGACACCTTTGCACTACCTCTTAGAGTGGGTTTGCCGCCCTTTATGGATGGCACTGCAAACATGCTAGTATCTGGCTTGAGTTTACCTCCTCTTCTGGATGGCAGTACATATGTGCTCGAACCTAGCATGATGTTGCCAGTGTTTTCGTCTCTAGTTGTTTTCCACGATAGAGGCAACAACAAAGGGGCATTGTTCTTTTGGAGTCCAGGCGCATACTCAATAGTGGCTTAGCATACTCAATAGTATCTGGCTTGAGTTTACCTCCTCTTCTGGTTAGCACCACGGGTCTGTCACTTCGATAGCACTGCAATGCTAGACTCTAGCCCTGTAATGCTTGTGCCAAGTTGTATTGTTGTGCATAGCAGTTAAAATTATTTTATTATTTTATACTTTTTTATTGAGATTTTGTACAAACTATTGAGTTTAGTTATGTATGCCTATGATTGAACACTATAATTCAGTACTATTCAATCTTGAAATATAAAGAATAGCAAAAAAAAAATTTAAAAATAGAAAAAGAAAAAAAAAACATGTAAAAATAAATGACAAACCCTCATAAAGAACATGGATAACCTAGATCCCCTATAGATTTTGCAAATCAAATGATAGAAAGAATTCACTAGAGTATCAGTCGACCTATCATAAATACCCATAATTTTGAACTTAAATATGTCATCATTCAGATGCCTCAAAATAGTCAATTTGGGTGCTTATTTATAGAAGACCCTAATCTTCTCATAACTAATTTTGTAGAAATTTATGTTACATTTCTGTAAACTGATGTCTTATACGATATCGTTTTACTTAGATTATTTTCATTTTCCTTGAGGGATAAGGATAAGCTTTACTCTTTACCCCGATGATGTATGACTACTTGGATAGATCTAAGCCAGAAATTGTTTGTCAAATCAACTTCTAAATTTATCTTTTTAAGAGCATTTATATATGCATTTATGTTTGTCACATCCAAAATTTGATTTTTACACCCTAAGCACCCCAAACAACGTATGAAAAGGTGAAAACAATGCAATCCCCCTTTTCATACATAGGCTAGACTACTTAGGATGTAAAAATTAAAGTTTAAATGTCAAATAAATAAATATATAAAAATTGAGTGCTACTTATATAAATTTTCTTTATGAAATATAAATAATGTATTTTGCCTTGGAAAATGGCAACTGCCAAACAACTACTCCGAAAAAAATCCTGGAGGGCATATTCCTCTAGAAGGTACTCGTGAGTCGCCAAAGCCCGTCTAGCGTGATGTCCGGATCTGTTCCTTCCTCTTCGTTAGTGCTCGCCGGTAGTCTCACCTGGGGTGACTTTAAGCTCGCTTTCTTCGTCTTGCCAACATCTGCAAAACGATGACGGGGAGAGAGTAAAGCTCGGAGAGTGAAGTGCCAGAGTGGACCGGGATCGATGGATGTTTGGGCTCTGAACCCTATGGCAGGAGGTCTCCCATGGAGCACCGGCAAGGGGCAAGGGAGAGGCTTAATGGTGATACGGCAGAGTTTGCAATGGAAGTGTTTTGTCATGGAAGAGGGTCACGCTCTACTTCGAGGGTTTTGGGAGGTTAGGGTTTCGAAGAGGAGAGGTTACAGGTCTCTAATGGTGAGGGCGGCAGGTCAGAGGAAGAATCCGGATAATCCATCTTCTTCTGGTGAGTTTTTTTTTTTTTTTTTTTTGTCAATTTTAAATTGCATATCCGGCTAAGACATTGAATTTATCAAATGGCGTTCGATCCCTGTTTTCCTTCCATCCTAGTAATCTGAGCTGTGCGGCAGGTGCAGAACCATGAAGAAACGTAGTTTTGTTTTTCGATTTTCTTGCTTAATTTGCTGCTAGGTTTCTCGTTGAATTTAGGTCTTTTTGGCAGCTTCTTCCTGTGAAACTGCTAAAGAAGAAGCTCCTGTTGGCTATTACAATTTTTTTCTTTATTTGAAGAAGCAGCTACAGCTTTCTAGCTGCCACTGCAGTCTCTCAGGTCTAATGGGAAAACAGCTGCAGTTTTTTGAAAATGGCTACAAAACACAGTTTGTGCAACACTAAACACTAAACCACACCGCCGTTCCAAACACCCTTAATATTTAATGTTGGTTGTGCCTAGATTGCGCTATCTGCGTCAGCTTGACTTTTGTCCGTCTTGCTAATGTATATTTTTTTAAGTGGTAATCACTCGTGAAGTAATTACAGTTCTTTTGAAGAAATAAAAATTATCTGCTTTAAAAGAGCTTTAATTTGGAGGAAGATATTAGATGTGAAGCTCCATTCTTCTCTTCTCATGCAAATCGACTCGCAGCAATCTTTATTTGTGGCTGTCCAGTTATTTCATAGCTTTATCAGTGTTTTAAAGAGCTGAATGCAATGAAATGTGCAATGGTTTGCTTTCTCTTTAATACTCAAAGCAAAGCAACACTTCTACGAACTAAAGCGCTCATAATGTATGTTTTATTTATATAAATATTATATGTCTACAATAATCATTTAATTTATCAAATTTAAACATATTAGTTAATAATTTTTAGCAAATATGATAATACATTCAACAATAATAATTATATATTATTCTGAAAAAGTTAAAAGATATAAAAATAAAGAGTTAGAATATTATTTAGGAATCATTAATACTTCTAACCAAAGAATAAGAAGCTAAGGCAGCATGAAGCCATAGAGTGTAAGGATGAGGCACTCGGAAGTTTGCAGAGAATACTCTAAGAATCATTGTAAAAAGAAGCTTGTGAACGAGAAGCTGATACAACCAACAATAAGAATCAACAAGAAGCTGAATGTACAACATACATGAAGTGGAGAACCACTATGAAGAAATGAGCTTTAAGTTATGATTCAATGATTAAAATACTTCAATCATCGAGTTAGATATTGAACCAATAAAATCTTAACTAAAACTTAGTTCAGTGCTAGAGTGTGCGCACATTGGTATAATACGATGTAACAGAGTAGCATGACATGTCTTTTGCTGCAAACTTGCTTTGTACAGCTAAGCGACATGCATGTTGGTGCATCATATTGTTTGCTCATAAAGCTCTTTTAATAACATTGGGCCATAACAATTGAGATTTGTGGCACAATCAATCAAGTGTGATCTAAGGTTGGGTGTATAGAAGATTTTAAAATTGTGAGAAATTATTCTTGGGTTGGAGTTTCTTTATCATTTATTCCCAATAATTACTCATGTGCTAGCTCTCTTTGCTTCAATATTGGTAAAAAATAACAATTTAGGTGTTGGTTTTGCGTTTCATTTTTTGAAAAATCGGAGGCAGTGGCTTTCAGTGGTTGCTAGTGGATTGCCAATGATGGCAGGTGCTGATGGAGGCGACAAAAGTCTGAAGGAGGTGGTCTAACATGGATTGGGTTGCTGCAAAATTTCTGAGCCCTTGGAGAATGGTTATTAAGAGATAGAAAGAGAGATTAAAAAAGATTTAGGTTATGATTTTGATTTTCACAATTCCATGTGACAGCCCGTACTCTCACCCATTAAGGTATTGTCCTCTTTGGCCTAGTGGCCTCACAGTTTTGCTCCGTTGGTGTAACCTTTCGGGAGGTCACCCATCCTCGGAGTATTCTAGAACGAGAACACTTACCTTTGGAGTTTCTATTGAAATTCCAACATTACACTGAAATGTGTCTCAATGTTTAAGAGTTCAACTTCATTCTACTTAAGTGATTTTTCATAATCTCTACCACTTAAGTAGCTTACGTTCTCGTCAGTTTTCATATCCCAAAATCATTCACTAGACAATAGGACGCTAGAGGTGGCCCTAATAGATTTAAGAGTTGACTTTTACAATGTAGCACTTTGTCCCGTCCAGAGATCAAGAGGTGACAACCATGGAGTAGCATTTTGTTCTGTATGACAATGTGGTTTTGTATATTTTGGTTTTGTATATTTTATACTATTTAATAAAATATGACAATGTGGCCGGTTTCTTTACCGAAAATTGCACTCACTTTTTTTTATTTACAATTATGTTGAAAAGATGATTATAGATCAATTTTTTAGTTGCTAGTTTGTTTCATACTTCTTTTTCATATTATTCTTTGCTCTCAGCATTTGACCATCTATACTAAGGTGAAAGCTAAGTATCTTGTCAATTCTGTGTAAAACCAACTCAGGAATTGGTGATGAGAAGAATTTAAGGATCGTTCATCATTGATTTAAAATCTTTCTTTTAATCATGCAATGTTTCTTTTTTACAATGATTTGGGATTTTCTTTATGAACCATTGTTGGTAATCATTATTTCTAGGTAATCGATGGTGCCTATGACTACTTCTGGTGCTAACTTGAGTTTATTTGTTTATTTTTAGGAACTTCTATTTATTTTAGTTTTAATTCTACCATTCTAATTCTTAAAGAATTTGAAACTTTGCTAGAGAATTTGACACCAAGCGATAAGAATTATGAATGGTAATGATCGCTCGCTTATTATTGGAAATTTGGTTAAGTTTGATGCCTATGCTGTACATTTTAAAACCATTTGAAATTGGTTTTTGGTTTGTTCAATTGTTAAGTAATGTGCTTTTATAATACATGAAACCAGTTGAAGCAATAAAGATCCCCTACATGGACTTTTTCTTTTGAGGAGAAATATTCTATGTGGTCAACCTTAGAATTAAAAGGGTCAGTTGCATACATAGCACGTGAAACATAGCTATTTACAAAATTAGCACCTTCGTGCATCTTTATTTTTTCTTCTTTTCGAATGCTCACCTAGATATAAAAAATTACAACAAAATTCCAACCCTTAATTCGGTTTTTATTAAATTCACATTGGTTTGATCATGACAGGCATAAATGCATGGGTTTACTACTTTAAAAATTAAATTTTAGGTGATATATACAAAATTACATCTAAATAAAATTAAGCATAAATTCTTAGATTGATGCTTTGGTAAAACATTCATGCTAATTTTACCACACTTATCATCGCTAGAAACTCACTTTTATGTGATGAGTGGGTTCATGGGAATAGGTGCTTACTGAGTCTATATTTCCACTGGTCATATGGAAAGTTCACTCTTTATTTTTAATAGGTCCATCTTAAAAGGATGTTTTGACATTATTTGGGCTCCAATGGAGAACGTGCTTAATTTGTTTTTGAATGCAAATAAAATATGGAGTTATCAGCCATGGAGATTTTTCTACTATTTTATTTAAATTCTTGGTGTTTTTCTCCTTTCCATATCTCTTATAAAAGCACTTTGAATTCTTGTATTCACCATGAAACAATATTTTCATCCTAGCTTTCGTTATTGTATTTTTTAATGAATATTAAATCTTCCTTTTGACAATGATGGGCGGAGATTGTAATTTCAGTGAAATCACTCAAATTGTTTGTTTTGGAAGAAAATTCACCCCTCGTAAATAATTTTGGAGTTGCTGCAGGTGATGTTGATTGGTGACTTTGAACATAAACAAACATGCAAGAAAGCGAATGAGATGGAAACATGGTCAAACAAACGTACCTTCATGAACAATTGACTCAAAATGTGAAGGCGCTTAGTTTGTTAAAACAAATTGTCATGATTCGTTTGAAATGCTTAAATAATCTTGAAAGACCTCCCCATACTGTGTAAGTTTTAGCGTGAAGAAAGTATCTACACGTGCAGATTGAAGTTCACGGGAAGCTCATACTCATATATATTTAAAATATAGAAAAAGTATTAAAGTATAATGTTAATTATAAATTAAAATAAAATAATCTTGACATCATGAACATTATATAAATATCTACATATTCATATGTTTATATATATTAATATAGTAGTATGTAATAATAATATTGTTATTATGATATATATATATATTGATGGCGAACCCTAGCAACTGTTATGGCCTCTTCTCCGGCTTCGGCGCTGGCGCCTTCGCGTTTCACTCCTGACCCTGGGTCTCGCGATCTGCGGCGCATCCTTCCCGTCTCGCGAGCTTTCCCAGTTCGGGAGTTCTCAGCTCACGATCTCTTGCGAGTTCTGCGGCTCCCGCTCCTTCCCGTCTCGACTCTCTGCAGTGCGGCTCCCAGTGTTTGCTTTGCGGCTCTTCTGCAGTGCGACTCCTGATGTTTACTCTGTGGCTCCTCTGCATTGAGGCTCCCGGTGCTATCCTTTTCAACAACTTCGGTCGACGTCACTTTTTCAGTATTTTCTTCTACGCCACACCTTTATTTTAAGGATGACTTCAAACAGATCGTATGCAGCTGCCCTCACGTATGTCCACGCCTCAGGTACACCTAAATCGTGCCCTCATTCCTTTGAGTAAGAGGACATCAAAAAACCTGGTAGGAAAAATGGGAAGCATGCTATTTTTTTTACAAAAGCTGTAGGTATCCAACTTGCTTCCTCCCGTCGTCTGAATTTGGTTGGAAAATTTTTATATGGTCATCCCAAAATGGAGCTTATTGCAAGGAATTCGAACTTATGCACTTTGTTGGAGAGTGAAAAATTGGACTATTAGACTGTAGACACATTCTTATTCAAATTTATAATGAAGAAGATTACACATACTTATTTGCTAGAAGGATAATCTGAATTGATAACAGAACAATAAAGATTCTGAAATAGTCTGTGGATTTTGACCCACAGATGGAACTGTCAATCATTCCGGTTTAGATTCCCCTTCCTGGTCTGAAATTTCATTATTTTT